ACTCAGTCTTTCTGCACTGATGTAATTGAAGAAAATAATAAGTATCCAAGAACGTGTGACCTTGTCCCTCTTTCCATTCTGCACCTACAGTTTTTTTCTTGGTGATAAACTGCTCTGCATTTATGGGTTCTGTGATTCCTGAAGGAGGTGACTTCTAAAATTAATTGGGGAAATTAGTGAGCCATATGAAGAAGCCAGGGAAAGTAAGTTGTTGGTAAAGGAAATCGCTCATGAAGAAGCAAACGTAGTGCTTAAGAATGCACAAGCTAGATATTACCTGTGGTGCTCCTACATACTTCCTATAAAACCGTGGGTACTGAACTTTGTTGTGCTCAGTTTCTCTCTCTGCAAGCATGTGGGGCTAGTAAAAGCCTCAAACTCATAGTGTGATGATTAAATTATATACAAGTGAGAATTTATTAGAATAATACTTGGAATATAGTTAATATGTATTGAGACAAAATAAGGACCTTGGAGGACAATATATGGTAATTTCACCAGTTTTCAAAATTGTCATTTCTTTTAGAAGAACATCTGTAAAATAAATAAAAATAATGAGCAAAGAATGATACAGATGAGGCAGAAAATAGGGACAGTTAGACCCCTCTCCTCCCTGTTACTGTCCTGGAGCAGTTTGATGCAGTGGAAAGAAGCACGTAACATGGAGATTAAAGAATACAGTGAGTTTAGTAACGAAAGTCGTATAAGAGAGTTTCCAGTGTGTTCTGTACATATTGGTCATATTACTTTCTGGTATCATAAGGGCTCTATAATCACTGGCCTCCATCTCTGGATTTAATGAGATATATAAGGGCACAGACTAAAGCCATGTGAATGATTTGCTCTGAGAACTGTTCTTTCTGCAGCTGGGAGAGAGAGACTCCGTTTTAGGTCATTATTTCCATTCAAACCACTGGTTTTCTCTAAATACCTTGGGACACAAATTGGAGCAAGCCACCTCTTGCTCCCCAACTTCCATGCCTTATCTGTCTTTCTTTTTAAATTATTAATACCTTATCTGGTAAGGTCAGTGCAGTGTATGAACTGTGTCCTTCTTTCCCCAGTAGCCGTGCCCTTGGTTTTCTTTATACACAACGTGCAAGGCACCCATGCTTTCCGTTCTTCCTCCTTCTCTCNTTGGTTTTCTTTATACACAACGTGCAAGGCACCCATGCTTTCCGTTCTTCCTCCTTCTCTCGTCCTCTGACCCTTAAGAGTTTGCTTGCTCCACATCCAAACAACTTCATGTAAGGTTATGTTATTTAGGCCAATATTATAGTTTGGCTATAGATTACTGCTTAGTCCCTCAATTCTGCATCTAAGAGGGCTCTCAAGTCTGCTGATGGTTGAAATATAATGAAAACTGTTACTCTGTATTTATCTTTAATTTTCCCCAAATAATTGATGCTAAGTAGAACTTTTTAACAAAATTAATATTTGTTGATAAACCCCCAGTCACAATCCTATACTAGTTATCCTCTCATTCTCACTAATCTTTCTCTCATTTTTAAAAATTTTATTGTGGTAAAATACATATAACATGAAATTTTCCATTTTAACCATTTAAAAATACAATTCATTGGCATTAATTACCTTCACATTGTTGTTCAGCTATCACCACTATCTTTCTTACTATTTTAACATCTTCTAATGAAACTTTGGAATTAAGCTAGATGTTAAATATTTCTCCCTATAAGTTTTAAAGTAAAGGGAATGTATTTAGCTTAAAGTGTATAATCATAATCTTATCAAAATTTCCGAATTTCAAAATTATAAATTATACTGAAGAAAGTATTTGTATTCAGCTTGAATTTTCTGCTATAATTTTATATCTGGATCTACTGGAATTAAGTAATATAGAACAAAGTGTTGCACACTTGAAATTTCTTAAANTGAAACTCTGCTGTTTAGTGTAAACCACCCTCATCAATGATCTCAGCTGGATCTTCTGGATAACTTGCTGCAGCTTGTACATCAGCACTTGCTGCTTCAGCTTGCACTTTTATGTTATCGAGATGTCTTCTTTCCCTAAACCTCATGCACCAAACTCTGCTAGCATCAAACTTTTCTTCTGCAGCTTCCTTTCCTCTCTCAGCCTTCAGGGAGTTGAAGAGAGTTATTTGCTCTGGTTTAGGTTTTGACTTAAGGGAATGCTGTGGCTGGTTTGATCTTCTATCCAGACAACTAAAACTTTCTTCATAACAGCAGTAAGACTGTTTCACTTTCTTATCATCTTTGTGTTCACTGAAGTAGCGTTTTTAATTTTCTTCAAAAACTTTCCCTTTCCATTCACAACTTGGCTAACTGGTGCAAGAGGCATAGCTTTTGACCTATCATGGCTTTTGATATGCCTTCCTCACTAAGCTTAATTATTTCTAGCTTTTGATTTACAGTGAGAGATGAGCAACTCTTCCTTTCACTTGAACACTTAGAAGCCATTGTAGGGCTACTAATAGGCCTAATCTCAATGTTGTTGTGTCTCTGTGAATAAGGAGGCTCAAGGAGGANGGCGGGAGCGCCGCTGTGCTCCCAATCGGCGCACTCTCCAGTGCGCCACCGGGCCGGCCCATTGAGTTGACTTTCTAGCAGGGCATTCAGACAATCACAGGAGCTATGAATAACTCATCTGGTATACTAGAAGGTAACAAGTGCGATAGAGAAAAATAAATTAGGGAAAGGTAAAAACTTTGCCTTTTAAACATTCTTAGACTGGGCATCTTTAATTACTATTTATGCTGCTTCATACTTAATATTATAATTTTCATTTCATTTCTCTTTCAAATATTCATGACTTAAGATAGTCTTCTTGTGATTTCTGCCTTCCATGCTTTGCCATTACTGAGGAAATTTTAAAGAAAACTGGGGGGATGGGGAACCCACATTTTCGTTTTTCTTCCCCCCCCCCGCCCACATGCACCCTGACCCAGTTTATTGGGATAACCTTTCTCTGTGGCTCCATACCCTAGATGCTTGGTTCTCTGTCATTCATTAGGTCTCATACTTGACTGAGTTGTAGTATCCTTTGACAGTCTGAGGGAAACTCTATATGCTAGGTCTATATTGCCCAGTCACAGTTGTCTTGAATGCTAGTTTTAAAAATCCACTTCTATACCATTGTAGGTATCCTGTCACAATGTACTTGTTACCTGTAGGCTTCTAGAGTTCACTGAATGAATGTGCACTCTAATCCCTTTATACAAAAGTGGATTTTAATACTTAATACACACACACACATATTTATTTTAGTGTTTTGAAAAACATATCTGGGGAATTCTAATAGGTATTATGTGGGGAAAAAGGTTTCACTAGTCAAATATATTGAATGGACGGGGGGAAAAAACAGGAAAAAGATGTTAAACAGATTCCTCTGCCATAATCCTTCTCAGCATCTTTGCTATGCTAATCGTGCAGGCATACCTCAGTGATACTGCAGGTTTGATTCCAGACTACAGCAATAGAGCTACTACTGCAATAAAGTGAATCACATGAATTTTTTAGTTTTCTAGTGCATATAAAAGTTATGTTTGCACTATATTATAGTCTAAGTGTGCAATAGCATTATGTCTAAAAACAATGTACATACCTTAATTAAAAATACTGCTAAAAAAAGGTAATAATTATCTAAGCTTTCCACGAGTCATAATCTTTTTGTTGCTGGAGGATCTTGCCTCGATGTTGGTGGCTGATGACTGATCAGGATGGTGGTAGCTGGAGGTGGGGGTGACTGTGACAATTTCTTAAAATGTAACAGTGTAGTTTGACACATTGATTAACTTTTCCTTTCATGAAAGCTTCCTCTGTAGCTTGCGATGCTGTTTGATAGCATTTTAGCCACAGTGAAACCTCCTTCAAAATTAGAGTCCTCTCAGAGTCTACCACTGCTTTATCAACTAACTTTATGTTATATTCTAAATCCTTTATGTTAACAGTGTTCACAGCATCTTCACCAGGAGTAGATTCCATCTCAAGAAGCCACTTTCTTTGCTTATCCGTAAGAGGCAACCTTTAATTTATTCAAGTTTTGTCATAAGGTTGCAGCAATCTAGTCACATCTTCAGGTTCCATGTCTAATTCTAGCTCTCTTGCTATTTCCACCACATCTACGGTTACCTCCTCCACTGACGTCTCGAGCCTCTCAAGTCATCCATGAGGGTTGGAATCAACTTCTTCCAAAATCCTGTTAATGTTGATATTTCGATCGCCCATGAATCATAAATGTTCTTAATGGCATCTATAATAATGAATCCTTTCCAGAAGGTTTTTAATTTACTTTGCCCAGACCTATCAGAAGAATCACTGTCTATGGCAGCTATCGCCCTACAAAATGAATTTCTTAAATAAGACTTGATAGTCAAAATTACTCATTGATCCATGGGCTGCAGAATGGATGTTGTATTAGCAGGCATGAAAACAACATTAATGTCCTTGTACATCTCCATCAGAGCTCTTGGATGACTAGATACATTGTCTACAAGCAATAACATTTTGCAAGGAACCTTTTTTTCTGAGCAATAGGTCTCAACAGTGGACTTAGAATATTCAGTAAACCACGCTGCAATCTCAATGTTGTTGTGTCTCTGTGAATAAGGAGGCTCAAGGAGGAAAGAGACAGGGGAATGGCCAGTTGGCAGAGCGGTCAGAATAAATATAGCATGTATTGATTAAGTTATATGGGTGTGGTCCATGGTGTCCCAAAACAATTACAATGGTACCATCAAAGATCATTGATTACAGATCATCATGAGAGATATAATAATGATAAAAATAATTACAAATATTGCCAGAATTACTAAAATGTGACACAGAGATATGAAGCGAGTACATGCTGTTGGAAAAATAGACTTGCTCAATACAGGGTTGCCACGAACCTTCAATTTGTACAAAATGCATTATCTGCAAAGTGCAGTAAAGTGAATTGCTGTAAAAGGAGATATGCCTGCATTGTGAATCTGCAAGAGGGGGCTGTAGTACAGAGCATTTCCCTGGCTCACGTGGCCTGGAGACACCACCTGTCATCTCAATACTGCAGGTACAACACTGTAGTAACTATGGATGCACACGTGACACATCCCAGCAAAAGTGCATTAGAAGAAGCAAATTTGAAATTAAGGTCAATTTAAGTAACTAACCTGAAACACATCTTGAGGTGGTATGTTACATGCATTAAAATGAATTTCCGTGGTCTACATTTTACTTCATGTTGTATCTGTGAGATCAGTACATACACTCAGACATGCCACTTGTATCAAAGTAAAGTTAGAATCTAAATCACAGAAATAAGCTCTTCTGTAGGAAACATCAACTTTTATGTGATGTGTTTTTTAAACTTAAATTGTGGCAAATCTTGCTTTCCTGTGAGATACTTTATTTTATTTTTAGAGTGCAAGAGCAGAACTTGAAAGGCTGCGGCTCAGTGAGAAGCGTGATAAAGAGCTCGTGGACCCCAGCTTAAAGGAGAGAGCCTCCATTGTGGCCCACTGCCTGGAACACAAGGAAGAAAAACTTCAAAATCGAACCAGAAAGCATCGGAGTTTCAACTGCCTGGAGGACACAGAGGTGGAAGTCCCGAATGGGCAACAAAAAGGCCATAAAGGCATAAAGACATTGAGGAAGACTGAGGACAGGAATAGGAAAGCTACTTTGGACTCTGACCATAAGTTACCATCAAAGGTAATTGAAGAACTTAGTGTGGTTCTACAACAGTCAAGAACCCTTCCAAGAGAGTTACACGGGGAGCAGATTTTGCAGAAAGAAATAAAATGAATTGTCCTACAAATTATTTTTTGTTTCAATATTGTATACAATGTGTGTAAACCAGAAACCAAACTATAATTCATGAGAATTTATCTGTCTATTCTTAAGAAATTTGTCTATACTTAAGCATTTAAAGAGCATTTAAAAATATGTATATATGTAAGTGTAAGATTAACTTTATTTTGTTCTGATCAAAAAGCTTGTAAAGTTTACTTGTACTATATTAACCTTGTGTAAGAAGGTGTTGGGTTACTTTAAGTCAACCCTTTTAAAGTAGTTGTCTGTTAGGTTGTGTAATTTATGAACAGAAATCTCAACCTGTACTGTATTGTATAAAGTTCTGTGTTTAAATGAATCTATGAAACTGTAACATATTGTGCACTTTGAGAAACCTTGTATATTAAGTTACTATATGTTTTGGGGGTTATATAGGGTAGGGCCCACTTTAGGGGAAAAAAGGGAAGTAAATTGAAAAGGGGGATGATTTATTTTAGTGGCTGCCTGACAACACTGAAGTTTTAAAAAGAAGCAAATGAGTTAACAAATATCCAAAAAACCAAGGAGGTGTGTTTAGATTCATTCTACTTCACTAATGACCAGAACTAGTTCATAAGAAACTGCTTGTTAAGAAAAAAGTCCAGTATCTAAGTATTTCCCAACAGTAAAATTCAGCCAGAGGACATGAATAATGGCACTGGCCACTCTTACTTAGGGTGTTAGTGAACTGGCCACAACATGCGTTCACTACACTTGAGCTTTTCGTTGGTGGCTGCTAAGAGGAAACTTACACTGCATTGGAGAGATTGTGTGCACAGGACCAGGCACGGATGCCATTTGCACTGTCACCATATGCAAGCAAATTTTTTAGAATTCTAATTATACTTTTATTACAAACAGAATTCATCATTACAGGGTCCTGTTGCTGTTGTTGTTTTGTTTGATTTGGGGTTGTTTCATATTGTGTGTTTATTTCTTGTTATTTTAAGAAAAGTTGTAATATCTTTCTAAACTGTCAGAATTAACTGGAATGGCACAACCTATGGCCACTTGGGGATGGGGAGGGCTCTTTTAACTCTACTGCACATTTGGAGGCTACTGGTTCACATTTAATAGAGTTTTTTTTTTTTTTTTAGTGAAGTAGTGGTCACTTCCCTGTACTCATGAATAATGACAAAGCCCTCTATTTTTATTTCCACATAACGATCAATTACTGAATTGGTAATTTTCCAAAGACAACAATACTATCTAATTACAAGCCATGTTAGGGGCAACACTGTTCATCAATTTCTTTCAAATTGTATTAGGTTTGATGAGTACTGATATTAAAAATTATGCAGTTAAGCTTTATTCCTAGTAATTCATTTTTCCCTCTATTTTTTACTTATTTTTATCAGAATTTGTCTATATATAAAGATCCATACTTCTGTCAGTACAATCATAGTACAGTAATGTGCTATTAAATGCTATGAATTTCTTTATTGTAAAATACCACTTGGTGATAAAATAGTTTTCCATGGGAATGTGGCATTTGTTCTTTAAATTCAAATAAATCGGAATTAAAAAAAAAAAAACTGTAGGGCAGTTTATAAAATAGGTGTCATTATTGGGGAGCCTTTCTTTAAAGCAAGAAATCATGTTGTTTAGGAATAAAAAACTAATCTTAAATATACTATTATTTCTAATAAGTAATGACACATATTATTATGAAATAAGGTATGGAAATTAGAATGTTTGGCAATGTTGGACAGTGGAAGTGTAGTTGGAGTTTTTACCTGCCTTATTTGAATTTTTCTTGAAACCTGTGCTTAACATCTAATAGCTTCCGTTTCCCATCCTTTCCTGAACAATTGTCTCCATTTTTCAAATATAAGATAATGTCTAATGATGGAATCTCACATATTTTGAGTAAAAATTAAAATTGTTTTACAAGTCCACCTGAATGTGACTGTTGTCTTTCTCCATTAATTTCAGAAATGAAGGTTTTATTGTGAAATCAAATAAATTTTCTTTACTTTTTAAAAAAAATATTGAACTTAATATGTACTTCCAACTGGCTCTTATATCGTTTTTTCAAACACATCAGTATGAATATTGTTTTATTTTAAAGAATGAATATATGCAGACATGACATATAGGTTGAAAGCACTCCGATTTTCACTTCTGTAGTCCTAAAGTTAATTATTAGACATGCTTTTTAAATATTTGTTTTCTAAAAAAATCATTACCTGATGACTCATCACAGGGGCACTAAGAACTCAAAACCAAGCAAAAGTAATTGAAGCAAAAATATGACTTGTGTACATTACTATACTAGCTGCTGATTTTCATTGTTCATATGACATTTTTTAACTCTAAAATATGCATAAACTATATTGCAAAACAGTATTTTTGAAAGTGCATAAAATTTATTTGGACAGGTTGTGGCATGCAGATATTTGCATGTTCCCTTAAAGTTTTGATAATCACTCTAAGGAGAAGTTGATTAAAACTTTCACCCTCTCATCAAAATTTGCACCAAGACTTTCATGTTGTCACTGAAACTTCACTCAACAGAAGACAGAATTAGGTTAAGTATGAATGTTTTTCTGTCATGTGTTCAATCCTTACATTTATCTCTAATCATCAGGAAATGCAGAGCATAGAAATAAATTTTATAGGTAACTAAAGTTCATCTTTTTATGTCATAAAGTTATTTTATTATTTTAACAATTTTTTGTTTAAAATGTTCTGAACTGTATATCTTCTTTGCCATGGCTACCATATGTTAAATGTAAAGTTTTTAGTAATTCAGATACCTCTGCAAATTTAAGACTATTTTGTGAATTATTTGATTAAAGTTCGGAGCCCAAATGTCCTCATGTGAGAAGTGGGAGTAATAACTACTTTGTAGGCTTTCTGCAATTATATTTAGGTATACACACACACATGCACACACTGTAGGCCAGATATGTGAGATGGATACCCATATGTTAACCTAGTGGAGGAGGCTCAATAAATGTGTTTAATGTATTAGATTTTCTAGTTCTCATTTGATTGAAGTTGACACTTCTGGTTTTCAAAGTGCTTCTAGCAGTTTTTTAAATCCCTTTTGAAATATGTTACGCACTAATGAAACAGATTATAACGTGTTATAGGCTGGATTATCTTCCCCCCAAATTCAAATGATGAAGCCCTAACTCCCAATACCTCAGAATGTGACTGTATTTAACGATAGGGCCTTTAAAGAGGTGATTGTTTTAAAATGAGGTTGTTAGGGTGGGCCCTACTACTGGTGCCATAAGAAGAGGAAATTTGGACACACCAAGAGACACCAGGGAGGCACACCCATGGAGGAAAGACCATGGGAGGACACACAGAGAGGCTGGCCATCCCTTAAAATGAGGTTGTTAGGGTGGGCCCTACTACTGGTGCCATAAGAAGAGGAAATTTGGACAGACCAAGAGACACCAGGGAGGCACACCCATGGAGGAAAGACCATGGGAGGACACACAGAGAGGCTGGCCATCCCCAAGCCAAGGAAAAAGGCCTTAGAAAGAATGAAACCTACCAACACCTTGATCTTAGACTTCAGCCTCCAGAACGATGAGAAAATAAATATCTGTTGTTTATCTAAGCCACCCAGTCTGGTATTTTGTTATGGTAGCCCTGGAAACTAATGTACCACATTTTTGAGTTAATCTGTTAATATTGATACTTAGCAGATTATGCCTTGGTACTTGCAAGTATTAGTCTTTGCACTCTTGTTGCCACAAATCTCAGAATGTTTGTAGCATTATGTAAGACTTACGATTATAATGATTAATGGAGGATAAGAAAGACATGCTGAGATGTGACTGCATAGACTAGAAATCAGCTAGCTAAGTAACTCGAACACATTCAAAATTATGGCTCAGCAAAATTACACTTGGGGGCCGTTTGTAAAGATTCAAGCTCTTGGATATCCAGAACCACTATTCCAGCAGATGCTTAATCCTTCATAACATCTGGTAGAAGATATTGCTAATCCTTTCAAAGAACAACCAAGAGAAGTCTTCAGTTAAACAACTGAGCAATACGCTAGAGAGAGACAAAAAGTCATTTCAATCAAACCAGCTGAAACAATGACCATACAGCCTGAAGGTTGGCTCAACACCCATCTTCATCAGATAAAAGTGACATTTGTATCTCACTGGAGAAGATTGTGTCTTCCCTCCAGCTATTGCCTTATTTGTCTGCTCCTGTTTGCAGCAAGAATCTTGGTAAAATTTTTCTAACTTGCTGCCTTTCTTTTTCCCTCCCATTCTCTTTTTGAACACTCTTAATTCAGCCCTTGTTTCCCATTCCTCTACCATAACTGCTCCTGGCAAGGTCAGAACAACCTCATTGCTGGTTCTCATGGTCAGTTTTTACCCATTGGATTTGACATATTACCATCTGTAGCATTTCATACAGTTAATCATCCCTTGTTTGTGTAACACATTCTAGTATTGGTCTCTGGGACACTACTATATTGTGGTTTTTCTCCCTACCCATTAGCCAGTCTTCCCAGATCCTCTACTGGATAGCCTAACTCGTAGAGGAACTCATAGCTTTAAGTACAGCACATAGTCTGACCATCCCATATGTTTAACTTCAGTCTGAACCTGCCCGCTGAGCTCCAGACTGTGTAATTTACATTTCCACTTAAGGGTCCAGCTGGTATTTCAAATACACCCTATCTAAAGCTCTCTACGTGCTCCTCATCCTTTCCATTCCATACTTTCCTGCTCCTTTCCATTTCTAGGACTTGGGTACAGAGAGATTAAGCAAAATTACTCAGATAATGATCGGCAGAGCTGGCACTTGAACCCAGACAGTCAAGCTCAAGAATCTATAGTTTTTCACTCTGCATTAGATTGTCCAGGTCACCATCATATCTTACCAGAATAATTGCAAAAGACTCTCAAATCATCTCCCCAATTCTCAGCCGCTATTTGGAAAGAAACAAAAGATAGATTAATCTTTTTAAATAAGAGATCATTTCTCTCCTCCTAATAACCCCCTAATAGCTTCCTATTTCAGTTAAGTTAAAATGGAATATCTTTAGAAATACAAGCCCTGAAATGATTAGTTCTAGTGTTCCATTGGCTACTTCTTAACCATGCTTTACCTCACTCATTTTGCCACAAGCATAGTGTTCTTTAAAATCACCAGGTGTAAAAATGCTTTAGGACTTTGCACTTTCTATTTCCTCTGTCAGCAACACTCTCTCCAGACATATATATGGATCTCTCTGTTAACTTTATATAGGTCAACACCAGTGTCTCCTTATCAAACAGACGTTCTTTGAACATCCCATATGTATTAGTCAAGGTTCTACAGAACCAATCGGATATGTTTATAACTATAGAGAGGGGATTTATTAGGGGAATTGGCTCACTTGATTGTGAAGAGGTTCTCAGGCCTTCTGCACACTGCATGCCAGTAGCGTGGCTCAGTCCACGTCCTAAGGCCACAGAACTCCCAGCTCCAGCGGAGAGTGAGATTCCTCTTTTTCTCCGTGTTGCTCTCTCTGGACCCCTGGTGGATTGGATGGCTTCTGCCCATAAGTGAGGGCAGATCTTTCCCACCCAGTCCACTCTGATTCTCATGCTAATATCTTCGGGAACACCCTCATGGTCACACCTAAAAAGATAGCTTTACCAGGTTTCTTGGTATTCCTAAATATAATCAAGTTGACACCTAGAATTAACCATCACACCATATAAGATGGCATAATGACTCTATTCCCTTTATCTTCTTTTTTACTTCATAGAACTTATCACCACCTCACAATTTACATATTTATTAATATATATCTTAATGGTCTACTTCTGCTAGAATGTAACTCTGCAAATGCAGAGCCTTAGGTTCACCACTGTATTCCCAGCATCTAGAACAGTGCCTGTACCATATCCCACAGTCATTACTGAAATACATATTGAACAAATGAATCATGGTTTAATGAAGTACCTTGAAGAGAACAATGATTCCACCAAGAGCTAGAAACAATGGATTTTTTTAAAAGTGTAGATACTGTGGCTGAGATAAGAAACTTAGGTAGCCAGATTCTGAGCAAATGGGAACATTAGAGAAGTGAGCTAATACTGTATAGCTGCTCTTTTTCTGGGGGGTATTTACAGAACCTATACACAGGGCAAGAAGTTGAAAATCTAGTGTTTGCCTTGGTTAAGAGATGCTTTTTGCAGACAGAATAAACAGCAGAGCTTTTGTAGCCTAGGGTAATTAAGAAGGCAAAATTGGAGACTCAAGAGACTAAGATCCCAACAACAAGGGAGGAATGGAAAACTAACTATAGCTGAATGACCCTCTCAATCCTGCCCCCGACTATGCCAATTGTGGGGCTATGGCTAATGTCTGGAATCCTGTCAACATTGCCAGTTGTAGCACTCTTAATCCTGTTCATGACGCCAATTGTCTAGCTACATGACCACGCTTGTTGTTGGGCTCTTTTACCTGCTGGCAATCCTGTACCAACTGGGCCAATTGCGGAGTTAGGGCTAGGTCTGGAGCTCACAGACCCCTCAAGTCCATTCACAGACTGGGTCACAAACACTTCATACACCAGGCTGGGTCACCAACCCTTCATACACCAGGCTGGGTCACCATACCCTTTACATGCAGGTCTATGAGCTAGGTAATGAGCCAAAAGGTCCTTGGAAGCCATAGGTTGGAAAGCATGGCTGCACTGGGTGGATGCCCGAGGCAGACGTCTACCCACCTGCTTCACCAAAACTCCTCTCTCTCTCTCTCTCTCTCTCTCTTTCTCTCTCTTTCTCTCAGAACACAAGAATAGCAACAAAATTAAAAAGATATATTGACACACATGCACACTAACTCCACACACACAATTTGCTTACAAAGGATGTGCTGAACCACACCCAACAGGACCCAAGGTGAGGGCCCTGACCAAACTACTCTA